ACAGCGACCTTGATGTTGACAAATTCTTGTATTTTGAGGAGATTCAAGGATTGTTGTTTCCGGGTACATTCTATCAGGAGAGAACCAGATCGGAGCTTTGTAACATTGGCAACCTCTCCGCAGATACCAGCGATACCTTTGGAGATTGCAAACGGGTTGCAGAGGCTGCTTGTCACAAGCTTCAATGATCAGGAAGCGTGGCCAGTAGACAGGTCGGAAGGGCGTACTCTCGTCCGACGAGGAGTTCTCAGAATCCATGCATCTTCATTTTGAACCGGGGTATTGGGAAGCCATGTCGTAAGTAATGTGGTTCGGCATCCCCTCTCCCCACCCACCATGGAGTGTCAACAAGGACGATCTTATATTGCAGCGGATCTCCAAGCTGCAAAGACCAGGGATAATGGGGTGTTATACTCCAGCGAATTTGACATGAAATGCTGTAGCTGCCTACCAGATTAAAGGTCAGGATGGTTCTGTCCATGACAATCAATTGGAGACGTACAGAAATCGGAGGTCAGCATCACCAGATTGGCTCATGAGCCACCGCCTTCTGTGCATGGGTCTGCGAGGCTAATTTGTTTTGGACGAATATCAGTTAACATTTTGAACATGTCCAAAAGTGTTATGTGATACCAAATTTTGTATAGACATTCCATGCACAGGGCAAGGTGTGACCAGCCGATTGGTAATATCGGGCCTATTCTACCACCGTCTAGGCAAAGTTAGGGTCGAAGTGGTGTGTTGGATTATTGAACCTAACTCAACTCAACTCAACTCATCCTCAACCACCAGACTCCCTTCCTCTGCCAACACAGGAATGCAACCCACATCATCAAGTTCGGCACGAGTTTTTCGATGTTAGCTGGATTATTGTGTCCCAGCAAGTTTCGTTGATATTGGGACATCCAGTCCCGGTTCACCGTCAATCGTTCGGGAGCTAGCGGATAGCTGTTGTGAGATTTGTGTAGTTCTGCGGGATAGTCCAAGTCCACTTTGAGCACGTAGCCTTTGTTCGAATCCGGCGCGATGCTATTCACGTCAATCGTCTCGGGCAAGGAGACCCATTCGAATCCCCCGGTGGGGAGATACCGACTCATGGCCCAGCCGTACAGGTTGTTGGCATCGAGACAGAGTATGTGTTTGGTCTGTTTGCCGGGGTCATGACCGGGAACGTACTTGTTGTTGGCTTTGGTGTATCGTTTGGAGGCCATGGAAATCCCACCTCGCAAGCCTTTCTCCATGAACAGGTGCATGTCGTAATCTGTCAGTAGTTTCGGCTCCATGACGGTCTTTTTCAACAAAGTGTCCCAAGAGATACCGGGGGATGAGAAATACCATGCGGGGTCCAGGCCGTACTGTTTCGAGCATGTTTTTCTGAATATCTCGAACACATCGGCCAGCAGCAGCACGTCCGTTTTCAAGTACAGGTCATGGTAATTGCCGAAATTCTTGAAGCCCAGTTTGTCCCACATGTTAATCGCGTGCGTGTAATCGTCTTGAGAGATATTGTAATTGGTCAAGTTGCTGTAAAAGTGGTCGATGGGAGGTAATCGCATCTCGTTGAACTTAGACCAATCGACCATGTACTCGTTGGGTTTGACGCCCTTCCTCAGCAGCAGGGGTTGAGTCTTGGCGTCGGTGTATCGATTGGTGAGGTGGACGTCGTCCGGGTCGTTGGCGTTCACCAGACTGTCTAGAGACGACAGCAGGAACTGAATGCTATCGATAAATCTCAAACAGTCTAACGAGAACGAGATGTATTTTTCCATGTTGTTGGGGATGCACGTTATGTTGCCGTTGACCTTCACGATGGCCTGCATGATCAGGTGAGAATCGTAACTGCGAAGATTGTGAAAGACGATGGGGATTTTGATGGTCTTGGGATTGATTTTGAGCTTCAAGTTGCACGCGTTGTGAGTGTCACGTCTGTACTTACTGGTGATGTGGCAGTGATCTCTCACGACATGCCGTGCAGGGGTTTGTCGCACACGTGGCAATTCTTAGCTTTCTTATGAGTTCGCCAGTCTTCTTGGGTCATGCGCATGGGGATGATGGTGTACAACTGTTTCCTGATGATTTTCTCTTTTTTTTTTTGCAAACATGTGAGAAATCATTCGGCCGTGTCGGGACCTCGGTAGACCACGGGAGCGTTCGTTTTCCCGTCAGATCGAACGACCACGTAACTGAACACGCAGGCTTTGTGTTCTTGCATTTTATACGTGAAACTTTTTTCCGGGGACGACGGTGCGATGTTGATGACGGTTTTGATGAGGGCTTTGAAGTCGGCGTAGATGATGTAGGGCATGGGCATTTGATGTTTGTGGTTGAAGAATTTTAGCGTGTTTTTCTTTTCATCAGGCATGTCTATTCGGATGGCTGTCTCTCCCACGCCTCGGCAATCCTCCCAGTGGGATTCCAGCAGGTCGGCCGTGCAGGCACCATTCGCAAAAGTGTTTCTTTTCCTTATGCTTCCATTGATCGTACAACAGTCTGTTGAAATATTTTATCCACATGTAGTGATACTTGTCGCCTTGCTGGAACATGAATATATTGATCGTCTTGCAGTGTTCGTTTGTGAGGGAGCTGATCCTGTGCATGATTGTTTTAATCCCTTCGTGTCCGAAGATATTGATGGCTATGTCGTCGTTCTGTTTTTCGATTTTGGTGACCTGGGAGATGGGGTGGGTTCGTCTGTGCCGTCCCAGTTGATCCCATCATCTTCAGGATAGCTCGAAAGTGGGTCTGAATGTGCTTTTGCCGGAAACTTCGCGGATCTGATCGCAACCCTCATGGAATCAGCGCCTTTGTTTTTGACGTTGACCATGGCTTGCTTTTTCTTGTAGTACGGTGGCAAGTCTAGGTACGACCCTCCTTTGAACGGTATGTAGTTCGCTACGTCCAGGTAGACCGTGTCCACAACCCAGCACGAGCCCATGTGCATGTAGCGTTCCAGGGATTCTCATGTTTTTGCAAACGAGGTGCAACGGACGCGTCGATTGATTCGGGTTGAGTCGCGACATCTTGCTTGCCTCTGAAGCAAGGCTGGACGTGCTCGGTGGTGCCGTCCGTCTGCTGTTTTTCCATCGACATTTTCACTGTGAGTTGAAATTTGAGGCTTCTCAGATCGTTCAGTTCCTCCGACCAGCGGTTTGATGTCGTCTACTTCCATGTTTTTGTCGACATCCAACCTCCAGCCTCTCAGATACTTACCAAGTATCCAAGTATTGTTTGGCTTTGTCGCCGACTGCGAGCGCCACCAGTCTCGCTTGTCGTTTATATTGTTATTATCGTCTTCCAACATTTGTTTGAGCAGTTCGTCTTCATCTTATAATGTAACAAGCGATTTTTAAGTCTTATAAAATCAAATGCGATGTACGCGAAATACATCGAGATGAAAGTGAAGTTGCACACAACCGGAGTTTCGAACATCATTAACCAATAATATTCATTTGCTTGAGTAAAGCTAGAAATTGCTTGAATTTAGCTTCATTTTTGTTTAAAAAATAGCAGGACAGATTTTGTGCACTTCCGTGGCCGTCATGTGTACGTCTTGTTCACTCGTAAAGTTGGGCAGAAATTGACGAAGTGGTCAAACAAGTCATGATAGTAACCTTCCAGCATGTCCAGCAAGAATGCCGTCCTGCCGCACCCCGTCTGATTGCACATGGATCGCGAGGTAAATCAATAAATAGCTTGCACGAATCTTCCACTGTCTATATTGAGCTGCACGTCCATAATCACTTACAAATATAAATTTCACTTGCCGACCGGATTTTGCGGGTGACCCCCCGCAACACGCAATCATACAGGATGGACAGCTTTCCCGAGTACTGGGTACAAATCTTCCTGGGCACTTCCCGCTCCTGACAATGCTGAATTCCAGCGAGATGTTGTCGACGACGTAGCTGGACTCGGTGCTGTCCGTTGTGAATATAACTTTGCCATAGTCGTTGTACGTGAGTTCGTATTGCAGCCGGTCGCCCAGCATGGCCTGGTAAAATGGCATGTGTCCCTCGAGCAGCTCGAAGTCGAGCGGTATGCAAAAACGGTTCATGTACACCTCGGCGACAGCTTTGTCTCCTGCCAGTATCCCATCGAGCTTGTCTTGCGTGTAAGCTCTTCCCACATGTATGTCGTTCACACGGCAATTATCCAACAAAGTCCTTGATACAACATGTTATCGTGTTTGTTCTCAGTTCTCCAGAGGTCCATTGAGGCTGTTGTTGGCATGGTGGTGCTACTTCTTCCGATGACGATTTCATTGTTGTAGCCCACCACTCTGTTCAACCTCAGTCACATGTCGATCAGAGCCATGACTTTCAACAGGGCGTATTCTAGCGCGTTTTGATACTGTTCGATGGCACTCGGTAAATCGACCGGTCTAGAAATGGCATCCTCGACATTAGCTATGAACTGATTCTGCGCAATGTCGGAACAGGTTTGCGTCTGAGTGCCCAGCATGGCCCACACGTACGTTCGAATCGTTCAATCTGACGACTCCGACACGAGTAAACCCTTTCAAAGTGTCCAGCATGAACATTTTCCAATCATCTGCGGGTCCCTGCTCAAACATCCAAACACGGTAATGATACGACTTGTAACCCCAATCTTTCACCAGCTGTTTGCTGGCTTCCGCGAGAGACATGTTGTGAACGATGGGAATGCCCAAACCGTGGTTCGGACCCGCCAATTGACCGTCTTCGTATCTAGTTCAAATTCAAATTCGTACGCACGTCGATCGTATGGATTGTTAACAGCATTCTTTGCCTCGTTCTGCGGAATTGGGGTGCTGATTTCTTTCAGGATACATCTGATCTGGTAGTAGACGTGAAACGAGAATACAGACTGACTCAGCGCATCACAACGAGTGTCGTTCAACATCACGCCGCACACGGTCGTTGCGCACCACACGGCAAAATTAAATTGATTCTGCCAGAACTGCATCGGGTTGTTAAACCAAGCGGGTATTGTTTTCACATTCATGAGCGAAAACCCGTAATTTTTAAACATGTCGTCGATGAACCGAACCATGAAATGTAAACCATCCTTTGCATCGACCACAATATTCGGTTGCGTGAGATAGGTAGCACTTATATTCTCGGTTTGTACATATTGAATTGTTATATTTTAGTATACATATCTACTTTACATGTACGTGACGCTCCAGGGAATCACAAGCAGCGAGTCCATTCAACTGCTGCACTCGATCGATAACACATCGGGTCAGCTCTCACTACCCGTGATGCACCAACATCAATGACAGAAACAACAGGCTGTTCGTCAATAACACCCGCAACCAAATAATGGACGGCTACTACAGCGTGTGCTCGCTCAACGAAGAAATCTTCAAACCCGTGGGAGCCGAACTCAAAATGACGACTCGAACGGCACGGTCATGTTAGCCAACAACGGAAAAAACGACTTGAGACTCAGTAGGCCGTTGACTAAAACGCTCGGGTTTACGTTGAACTACATACCACCGGAAACCACCGTGACAGGCAAGAAATTACCTGATATTGTTCCGTATCGCGAACTGTGCACTCATCTGGGCATGACTGACAACATTCAAGGCGAACGACCTTCCACACTGCTGAGAGCTGTGCCAGTGAAAACGGACAAGTACAACGACGGCAGAACCGAATTGTTTTTGTCGCAGCAGCACAAGAAATTAATCCGAGGAAACGTCACGGAAGTGAAAATATCAGGTTTCGACGTTAAACACGATCCCGTAAGTATAGGATATCTCAGCGAACGCTTCACATACGACAATGACAGAGTTTCAAGGTCCAGGAACACGCGTTAGAAAATGCGCCAACATAGCGATCTCCAACCTTGGGGACATGCGCGGATTCGACGAACCCGGAGTCGACGGCAAACTGTACGCCTTGCAACTGAAAAACAGCATTTACAAATATGTCAAACTGCCGTCTTCTACTGCCGCTGGTGGTAAGAACAATGACCTAGGCGATTTCCTCGATACCAAAGGAGCGGTCAACAACAAGCGATACGACCTCATCTGCAATGATGAGGATGAATGGACGATAACCCCAGCCTTCCGCAGCAGGCTGTTCCACCTGGACGACGTAGAGACCACAGCCGTCTCCAAAAAAAAAGGCAGTACACTCTCATCTTCAATGACGACAACAAATAGGTATTAGTGCCATCCAAATCGACTGGAATCTCAACATCACGCTCGACTCTCCCCACGTTTTCATGGACAACAAAGATCACTACCTGATGAAAGTCGTGAACAATGGAACGCTTCTTGTGGCTTATGTCCCTATGCAAAGATGCAGTGTGATCGTCAGCACGTTGAGGCAAGAGTAGCCCACATGCTGTCGAGCAAACAGTGACGCAAAACGTAGGATTGCTGATGGTGTCGGAATTCAACAGCCTGGTAGACGTCCTAGAAAATGTGCTGGCGAAATCCACGGTGTACATCCAAGTCTACCTCGGCAAACGCCCAACGGCGCGTGATGTCGTTGAAATCATGAAAGAGATCAAACTCCGCTGGGCAAAACAACAACAATACCAAATTTGCTCCGTTTACGCGCGGGTAACCGTAACCGTGGAAGACACGATAATGCTCACCAACATTTTCCTACTCAACAACATACATCTCATGGGTTTAAAGTGCACATCCGAGGAATTATCCGATAACCAATTGAAAACCATTTCGTAATAAATTATATATAAACGAGATGAAGCATCATCATCCCAACGTCACGCTAACTGATCTCGGGGACATGCAGGGGATTCGATCTGCCCGACGAGGATTACAACCTTGTACGCCATGCAGTTACAAGATAACGTGTACAAACCACGAGAAGTCATCATCGAATCTCAGTTGAAGTGGATTATTAACCTGGTCCTGACCTACCCCTATCTTATCATGAATAATAATGATGGTGGTGTCTCGCTAAAAAATAACGGGATACTGCTGGGGAGGTTTGATCCTGGAGAAGAACGTGGATGAGCGTAGCACCATTACCAGATCAAACGGTTAACATGTGAGTCCCCAATGAGAAAAAAGCAGGGTTATTTTTACTAAAATACACTGATGTGCCAGACTCGTGGATCAGTATGGTACAAAGTTCTACTCTTATTATCGAAGTATTTCTTGGAGATGGCCCTGGAGTAGATATAAACCTTCTGCATAGGTTATAAATACTCTGGCATGACCGCCATCAATCTCTGAGGAAGAGTTTTGTTTGGTGCTTTCAGAAATCGCAAAATATCACAGAATGAAACAAGAGATTAGGACTAAGTATCGTAAAAACGCCGTCATTTGCGAAGACAAGAGAAAAAAAATATTCATAGAACAAGGGAAGCAACAGGCCCAACAAGCTTTCATTACGAAAACAAAACAAATCATAGGAGATTCACAATAAACTGTTTCGCAGACATCAACATAACATAGCCAGCCATCTCAGCGAGCTGTAGGTAAATAGCTGAGCCGAGACACACACACTGCGACTCGCCCGCAACGCTCGCTCAATGCTACAAAGACGGCAGCGAGTCGACCCGGGGGAACTGCCAAGAGATGCAGTATGATTTAGTGGAAATCAACATAACCTTGCCAGCCAGACAGTCAGCTGTACAAGCCGAGCCGAGCCACACACTCTGACTCGCCCACAGCGCTCGCTCGGTGATACCAAGATGACGACCAGGGCAGGAACTGCCGATAGATGTGTTTCATTCACTTTCAGACATCTGTAGCCTCGCTAGTCAGCTGGCCGTGCATCATCATACTCAAGCCGAGAGACACACGCACATACACTTATACTCGTCCACGGCGCTCGCTCAAAGCAACCCCCGAGACGGCAGCGAGGTGATGACTGACGAGACCTGCGTTTCATTCAGCTAAAAACACCTCTCGCCTCGATGATATATAACAAGTACGACAATACGTTGGATTGTTAGCCTTTTCCCTACCGACCCCATGCTCACTTAAAAGTCAATATTTCAGAAACTATTCGACCGATTTTCATCAAATTTTACATCCACCTCAGTAGTAGTATACACAATGGGCTTACGGGATTAGGGACTAGCCAAGGGCTCAATTTGTAAATTGAGCCCTTGGGGGGTACCTGGTCCCCTAGCCTCATTGTGTATACTACGAGCTCTTCAACCCCCTAGTGGACCCGGGGGCACGGAGGTCAACAGCAACCCATTGCTGGTCGTAAGACTGAATTGGGCAATCTGTTTGCCATGGGTTGCGCCCCTGGGTAGCTATTCTCGAAACTTTCGTAGCCCTACGAACTTCTTAAGCCCATTTTCAACACATTGGCTACGATCAAAGTTAAGAATTCGTAGGGCTACGAACGTTTCGAGAATAAGGGCCCTGTGTTGGTGGAGGACGGTAGTCGGGTGGTTGAGGGCATTGGTTCCAGGAACAGCGTTCCTTTGCCCAACACACCACTCGCCCCTTACTTCACCTAGATGGGTTGTAGAATTGGCCCGATTCTATCAATCGGCTGGTCATGCCAAGTACTGTGTTGTAGTTATGTAATGCTGCACAATATTTTGGGAATTATAAGGTGATATTTTTAAGTCTTGGGGAATTTTTTGAACTCAGACTTTCAAATGTACAATTTCATGTATGTTTTTGCCTAGAGTCGTATGGCCAGAAGGCGATGGCTAATGGGCCAATCTGGTGGAATAATTAGTCTTTATTTTTTTGGGTTGGAGTATATCAACTGGGTATCATTGGTGCTACAAGTCGGAGACCCGCTTGTTTTTAGCATTGTCCTTGTGATACTCCGTGGTGGGTGGGGAGCTCGGATGATGAAATCTAAACACTAAACATGGCTTATGAAACCCCAACAAAAAAGACCAAACGTCCTCTTGAAAATGATCCTGTTGACGATGACTTCAGACCGCCCAAATCAATTGGGATTTGGCCACGCTTACTTGTGATTGAAACTGTCGACAAAACACCATAAAAGTTTAACCCTTTTGCAGTTTCTAAGGGTATTCAAGGTATCGCCGGGGAAATTAATAACATTAACGGTTACGTTCAGGTGCACTTCTGGTTGAGTGTGGAAAAAGACAGCAATCAGCCAATCTGATGAGCACTGAATCGTTCGTCGGCATTCCGGTTACTGTCTCTGCTCACAAAACATTAAACACAAGCAATGGTATCGTCAGAGACCCTGATCGATTGTTTTCTGACATGTCAGAACTTGATATCGTGACTGAAATGAAAGATTAAGGTGTACTCTACGTCAAACCCTTTTCAACCCGTAAAAACAATGCAACTCTTAAAACCAATACTTACCTGTTTTCATTTTCATCACCAACTGCTCCAAAATTACTGAAGGCAGATTATTGTAACATAATAGTTGACACCTACATTCCCAATCCGCTCAGATGCTTTAAATGCCAGAAGTATGGCCATGGTGTAAATACTTGCACATTGTCCGTTGTGAGTGCTCACCGTAGTGAGAGGACACATATAACTGAAGATTGTAAATGGATCTTTCGCTAAATGATTCCAGGGATAAACAAAACATCAAACTTTTCTCTGAGTTTGAAAAATCTCTGGTACAACATGAGAAATCACAAAATAAAGGTAAACCTCAATCTGTTATATTTCATACCTCAGCTTCCAGCACTTACAAAGAAAAACAAATTAAAACCTACAAAAAAGTGGAAACCACAAACAAGTCTAAAGCTGCAAGACGAGCAAACTACTCAAAATCAAACCAAAATAATCAGTCAAATGACCTGTACCAACAATATACAACAATTGATTTCTCATTAATATACCCTCAACTAGGCCACGACTGCTCATGGGATATTGGTACAGATTCCTGGGGTTGTGACTTATTCCCAATTCTTACACATATAAATGGCAGTTTTAAAGAAAATTCAACTATCCACACATCAAATATAGAAATAAGGAAAAAATATAATTTTAATAAAGCAAACTGGGAAAAATTCAAAATGTTCTCCACACAACAAGTTGAACAAACCAACTTTCTTGAATATGCAGGCAAACTAATCCA